TATACTTACGAGACGTAAGTATAGTTAATCTAAGTTAAAGCAAACTACGCTTCCTCATACACGTGCGCTAACGTGTAAGCCGAAGTAGTGGGCATTCAGTGAGCCCATTACATCTCCCACCATGAACACTGAAGACCGTCAATCCATTTGACGTATTTCATGTTGGTCTCATTGGTCCATACGAAGTAAAAGGCTACGGGATCGCCATGATCGACCAGGCAACCCGTTTGCTCGAGGTTAGTGTCCAGCCCGACAAAGAATCCTTGACAACGGCAGAAAGCTTCGATCGTGAATGGCTGTGTCGCTATCCGAGACCTCGTAAGTCATCCACGACAAGGGTCCGGAGTCCACTGGCGACGAGTTCCAGGAGCTGCTACGAAGCTACGGGATCAAAGTCAAGCCCATCACCGTGAAAAACCCACGATCTGCGAACGAGTGCACGTGGAGATCGGCAATATCCTCCGCTGTCACGAGAGCGCCGACTGGAGGAAGGTGATCTACTATGCTGCCTTCGTTGTACGAGCCAGCTACCACAGCATCCTCAACGCTTCTCCAGGTCAACTTGTGTTCGGTCAGGGCATGATCTCGCGCCAACTGCACGACGCCAACTGGAGCTACATGTCCAAGCGCAGATTCAACGCGATCCTCACCAACAACGACCGGGAGAACGACAAGAGCCTCGAACACTTCTACAAGCCAGATGATCAGGTGATGCTACGAGTTCCCAAACACTTCCGAGCCAAGCTCAAGCGAGTAGCTGACAGACCATTTCCGATCTAGTTCGTCCACGATAACGGCACCGTCACCATTGACATAGGTGCTACGCAAGAACAGGTCAGCTTGCGCCGAATCTTCCCGTGATAACTAGCATTTCTTCATTGGGGGGCATGACACAGGTGGTAGCACCGCAAATTTCGGGTGGAAGAATCGATTGTGTATTCACTTGCTGTGGAAAGCCAGAGGACAATTGATTGCACAAGCACGAACCACAGATTGTCAGAGCTAGAGCTAGATGAAGTAGGCTAGAGCACGGCAGGCTTAATTCATTCTCCATTTTACCTCATCGTCCGCAGTCCCTCTCAAGCACGGCGTTCGGACCCGATCCGTCCCTCTGCAAGCCACGGGTGTGTCACTGACGCATTCCGTGCGTCAGTATTTCTCTGCGCGTCGGCGACAAAAAGTTGCTGCCGCTTATTGTTTTGCCGGCGTTCCTAACGCCGACGTGCACGATGAGCTTACAAACCACCCTTTGTATTGAGGTCGTGTTATGCTCACGGTGCAACGGAAGGTGTACTGCGACAAACGGGTGATGCTAGAATGGATCGACGAGGTAAGTTCTATTTAAGTTTTCTCTTTTGATGTTTTCTTAAATTAATATTTTCTGCAGGTACGGGATTCTGATGCGTGCAATCAGAGGCTTTTATTGCTTGACAGTCTGAAAACATATAAAATGGCTAGTGTGCGTGCTAAGCTAG